AAAAGGGTGAATTTCCTGGTACATGAATTGTAGCTCAAGGAAAAAAAGTATAAGGGATAAAAAGTTTATAATATAGATGTATATATACAATATGTAATTTGTGTAATAAGGAGTATTATGTTAATTTAAAAAACATACATACAGATTCCAATTTTATCAACTATATCTCTGCATCCATATGGTGAGAAAAAATTCTGGAAGGAAATATAAAGTGTTAATTATATTTTATAGGGTAGTGGGGTCATTTGATAGCGCATTTTATACAATAAACAGCATTTCTTTTAGAATCAGAAAAATGCTTTTGTAAAAATGGGACCAGGCTCCCTGCTGCAGTAAAGACATTCTTGTCATGGGAAGTTTCCAAAAAGTTTGAGAATCACCAGATATGGATGCTTGCACTGGGAGTTTGATCCACTATACATGACCTAGTTCTTTTAACTAAGATATTATCATTTTATAATTACTTCTTCACTTACTTTCTTTTTAATAACCCATTATCTCATAGCTTGACTGGTATTAGTCTGTATGGGGAAAAAAATCCATCTTTTACTATAAAACACAGTAACTAAAAAAGAAAATCACATTTGAAGGGTATACTAGGACTCAAAAAGGGAAAGCAAATTAGTTTGAAAGCAAACTGTACATGCTTATCCACAGCCAGGATTTAAAGCTTAGGTTGTTACAAAATATTTAAGAAATTATCTTACTAGAGGAGGAACTTCTGGATTTTCTCTCTCATCTTTATAAAAGTGAAAATAAAACTTGAAACTGTGACATTGGAAATACTATCTGGATGTGTACATACACACACACTCACTCGAAAGGTGGCTGACACAAGGCAGGACACAACTCTTCTAAGGGAAACTGCCACCTTTTCTTTAACCCAAGTTCGGAGCTTGTCGACCACGAGATGGGAAAGCCCGCCAGCTCCTCGGCTCCAGTCGGCTCTCCCGTGGGAGCTGGGGCACGCACTGACTCCTCCCACCCCCTGACAGAGGGCTGAGGGCAGTGGGAGAGGAGACGCACCAAGCTATAAAAAACTTGAAGTTTTATTTCCTTCTAAGGCGTCCTGAGTCACTGGGTGCTCCAGCCCCCAAAGCCCGGGGAAGTTCAACTCAAATCGGAAATGTGTGTATGTGTTTTTTTCCTGAGCCAAAGCGGCTGAAAAACCAGATGACGTTGTCACTTGGACTGAATCTCTTGCAGGCCTGGTGGTAGCTTCCTATTTCCGTCCTGGGAGGAGGATGGAAGTCACTTAATGATCAGCTTCTCCGACCCACCTTCCAGTATGACATCAGTCTTAGCAAGCTCGCCCTCCACTCCACCCCCAACATGGAGCTGGTGAGACTCTAAAAAGTCCCATTTGTCAGCTCAAAGCATACTGCACTCCTACGCTATTTTGCCTCCCACCCTTCAGGCTGCAATTTCAATTTAAACACCAAGTGATGCCAAGCTGGTTGGTCAGAATCCTAGAAAGCCAGAGGTAGAAGGTACCTAGTCGAATAATTGTATTTTACTAAGGAGGAAACTGAGGCCCAGATAAGATCAGGAACTTGCCCAGGGCTACAGAGGGACAGAACCAAACCCAGGAGCCAGGCCTCAAGTCTCAGAGCAGGGGGCTCTGTCCCCACAGTGGTGTCCACATCCTTGCAGTCCCAACTCCTATACACAGGAGGGGCTAAATGCTCTCTGGAGACGTGTCTTGAGCCTGTGGCCGAAGCAGGGGCTTACCCCGTGACCATTCCCCTTTGCAGCCCTCTCACTGCTTCGGTGCAGTTGGAAAGGAAGCAGGCAAGGCATCTTGGAAAAGATCCTTCTGGAAAGCAGGGGCGGCCAGGAGGTGGCCTTTCCTGCTAACCAGAGTCTGGGACAGCACTAAGGGGAAGTTTTCCACTCCAAGCTTCTGAATGGAAGTTGCACCCTACCTGGTTTTCCTCAGCTGCCCTGCTCTTGACATGGGCAGAGGTATGTGCTTATATAATTTAAGATTCCCATCTAATTTTTAAAATGTATTTCTTTACACAACCCCTAGAGACTTGGATTAACATTGAGGTTACAGGGAAATTAATCTTTTTATGGTGTACATTTTCTGCATAAAGCAAGCCCAGGTACATTAATAGGCCAAGAGATTGGACGAAAATGTCAGCTATTAACACCTGAGCTACTTAAAGCTCGAGTCAGGCTGTAGTGAGATGTGTTCATGGTCGCTGTGGCCCCTCACACTCACCGACTGTGCCAGAGCCCAGGTGGAGTGACGTCCGAGGGCAGGTACGTCTTGTTCATCGAGCAAAATGGGTTGAAAGCTATCCAAGCTAAAAACCTACACAATTCGCAGTTAGAGATGAAAGGCTGCAGAAATGTTTATTGAATACAGTGCCAGGTTTATAAATAAAACTTATTTACAATTTCCATAGAGTTGGTCCCCCATCAGAGAGGTGGTTAAATCTCCAAACAGTTTATCTCAAGATTTACAGAAACGTTCAAGTACATCTCCTTTTCAAATTGCCACAGTGAAGATGAACTTCAGTAACAAGAGAACTGCCACCATCTTTGCTACAGACGTGTTTAATGAACAGTGTAATAGATCTGAGAAAGAACACGCGCTGCACCCATGCCACTACCCTCTTACTCCAAGGGACACAGACAGCAAAGAATTTCTGTCTCCTACAGGACAACTTCAAGGGATCAAAAAAGAAAACAGTAACTACCAGCTGGAGAGAGAGATTAAGACACATTTGTGGAATCTAGTCACTGCCAAAAGGATCAATCTATTTAGGATATACAATAATTAATTCAGATGTTTAAAATAATTGAACAAAGAGCAGACTTGACCAAATTTACATTCTTTGTTTAGGAAGAAGTTCCCAGTATACTGAGGGGCCAATAATATGCTGCTACTCTGATGGGCCACAGTGGCGCTGGGCCTACTGGACAGCCGCTCATTACTATACGGTTACAGGTACAGTCAGACATGCATTTATAAAGAGAATACAAAAATATGTACAGTAGCTAATTTTCAATGTGTTTAAGTTGCCGAAAGACACCAATTAAAGTGTGCAAAAGTTCGTTTGTCAAAAAATCAGAAAAAGCCCTCCTTGGCAACAGTGCTTCAAGAACCCATCTGAAATATCAGGATACATTTGCCTTACTCAACACCTACCCCAAACAGATGGAGAACAAAACTATGAAAGTGTTTGCCAAGTATTCAGCAGTTTTTTATGGCAAGTCTCAGGCTCAAGCGGGATGCCAGTTAAACTAGTCACTTTATATATATAAATATATGTATATATTTATAGAGCAGTTAGAAGTAGGGGCAAGAGATTACAGGAAGGTGCTCACCAGTTGAAGAGCACTGCCACAACATCCAGCTATTTCCTCTCACCAACTCACAGGGACCGCACACACCTAACCCCGGGGCTGGTTGTCCCCTCCGAGGCCAGAGGGAAAGGCTACAGTGGGCTGGGCTTCACCTCTGCACCAATCTGGAACTCAGCATCCCCTGGGGGAAAGGTTTCCGGTCCTCATGCAGGATCCAGGCCATACAAGAATCTGGTTTCAAAGGCAGTCTTTTAGCAAAGACTGTGGGACCACTAAAATGGAGTCCACTCAGCTTCTAGAAAAAGACTTGGTGAAAGGGTAAGACAGAAGGCAGTTTTTAAAAATAAATCACCCCCAAGCCTCTTTGAAACTACCAGGAGGTCATCAGCCACAGGCCTGAGACTGGGTCAAAAGTCAGGGTTCTTGACCTCCCTCCAAGAAACATCTAGGTCATTAACTTACTTGAACCAGGCATCCTCAGTCCTATCTCACCAGAAGAACCCCAAGGTATCCTTAGGTGTTCCTTCCAGATTCAGGGAATTATGAAAGCCAACCCCAGCTCATGATGTCAACCCCTCTCCTACCAACCACCCAGTCCAAGAACCAGCAGCGGAGGCGGATGGGCAGGCTCCTCTCCACTGCTCTGACCCGCCCCTCTGGCAGGAAATCTAACAAGCTGCAAAATGCCAGAAAGACAGGGAGTAGGAGAGGGAGAAGCCGAGGGTCTCTATAAATCAACCCTGAACGCAGCCATGTGGCTGCCAAGAGCTTCTCACTGCCTCGCTAGCAACCTGCCACTGGTTCCCTGGGAAATGAAAACCCCCACACAAACACTCAAAACCCAAACCGCCTTGCTAATAGGATACAATCAGTTCACACCCTGGAAAACGTACGTCCAGCCTTCACTTCAAAAAGAGCTCTGCGTTAAATGCAACATGCCTTCAAGGGGGCTTTTTAAGCGGACAAATCCCACTGCAGAGACCAGCACCAGCATCTCCTAGTGTGGGTTACAGGTTTATAATTAGACACAAAACGCCCTGTGGGCTGAGTTTTACTTTCAAGCTGGGGGCTAGCATTAGTTCCACTTAGGGGAAGAAAGCAAAGTCAAGTCAACTTAGAAAAAATAAAAGGAGGCTAAGGTAAATAGAAATCATAAATTAAGAATCGTGAATCAAAAGGCGACTGGTAGTGTCTTTTAGGCATGAAGAGACTGGCTTAGAAAAGTGAGTATGCTCCTACCACACACAGCGAGGATTGGATTACAGACACACTAAATCATGTCTCTTGCACAGATGGTCTCAAGTAGTTACATAAAACAGGTAATCAGCAGCGCGACTGAGAAGAACCCCTAAATACATGCTTGAGAAAGTGGGTTTTTTTCCTTCATTAAGAGCTCTACTGCCTGAATAATCATTAAGTCACCGCAGTTCGCCTCCCCCCGCCCCCCCTCCCCTCCCCCCGGGTGAAAATACAAGTAGACCTACGTGTCCATGGATATGATGAAGTAATCGCTATCTGCCTGGTTTTAGGCAAGGTCTCAGGCTCAGAGGTTGGTGCTAGGATGTCAGGAGGGAGGGAGGGAAACCCAATGCTGGGCTGTGGGCATTTAAAGGCGCACTGGCCTCCCCTCCAACTTCCTTGTCCCCGTTTAGATCTCAGCTTTACAAAGCATTTAACACCACTTTAAGTTAATGGTCTTTTTATTGGAAAAAAAAAAAAAAAGACTAGCATTTACAACTTGGAATGGACGTAAATTGTAATCTCTTGAACAGCAATGTTGATGGTTGTGCTGAAGTCCACAGCCACAGCCTACTCTGCTGGCTCCAAGTCATGGTTCAGAAGGTTTTAAAAACAGAGAGTCCAAAGATGCTCCCCTGGAAAAGTTTCTTTTTAAAAATTTGTGTGAACAGTGACAGCCTGACACCCGCTTTGCTCTAGTACAACGCAGACAATGCTAAACCAGCACACACAGGCCTGCCACCAGGGTGTCATTGTCACCATGGGTCGGGGCACATGGAAGTACAAGAGGACCATCCTGCTAGTGGGGCTGTATCTAGACAGTTTATCCTTCACTCGCTTTTCTGCACAGCATCCTGAGGTAAACCAATTTTAAATGTGTTTGTTTTCAGTAAACCAGCTATGACGATTTATACTAACAAACTGAACTAGAACCCATTTGAATAGGTTTTGAATTTGTTTTTTCGTTTTTCATTTTTAATACAAATGCCTGACTGTGCTCAATTGTCAAGCTGCATGCATGAAAAACTGGCCAGCCCAAACAGTGTATTACTCATTAGCAAATGGAACTGCAAGGAGTCCACCAAGTGCTTCCTTATCGTTAAGGTAGTACAAGTATTTATATCATAAAACGGATGTGTAGCTTGATCTTTAGGGGACAGGACCACCAACCAATACATGCAGATTTTTTGTGTGTGTGGACAGAAGGTACTTCTGACATTCAGTTTTGCTATATAGAAACAGAATGAGTAAATGAACTTTTTTTTTTTTTTGCAAGAGGTAAGTAAAAGATTCAATTTGATTCTTCTAGAGGGGGGAAAAGGAGTTGAAAGTAGGTCTTCATTTTGCAGTCATCATCTGTACGAATTCTGTAAAGACAAATAATCATAACTTTCGGTTACCTTCAAAAGCAGCTTTAATGAACACAACATCTCTGCTCTGTATATATTAAAAAAAAAAAAAACTCAGTGAAAGTCTAACGAAGCAATTGTTTCTGGAGCCGAAAGGGAAGGCTTAAACACTAAGCTACGGAAACGTGCTTACCTTCATAGTTGACTTGTCCGTCTCCGTCAATATCTGCTTCTCTGATCATTTCATCTACTTCTTCATCTGTTAGTTTTTCTCCTAAGTTTGTCATGACGTGACGTAGTTCTGCCGCACTGATGTAACCGTTGCCATCCTGTGAACGTTCAGCAATTGTTACTGACAGAGGCTCACCGGGGCTTGGGGTGGGCAGGGTCTTTGACTTCATTACGCCCTCTCAAGTTACTGCCACCTCTGCGGACACGGACAGCTCTCCCATCTCCCGTTCCCATCTCTACCCACTGAATACATGCAGCCAGCGAACGCAAAAGATGCAGGAGCTTTTCCAAAGCTAACAGAAATTGAAAGTAACAATCAAGAAACTTGGTTCAAAATTTCTCTACTACAGTCATGTGCCGCATAATGACGTCATGGTCAATGACAGACCACATATATGACAGCAGTCCCAGAAGATCGGTGCCACATAGCCTAGGTGTGTAGTAGGCTACTCTATCTAGGTTTGTGTAAGAGTACACTCTCTGATGTTCACACAATGACGAAATTGCCTAATGATGCATTTCTCAGAACGTAAGCTGGTCGTTAAGCAATGCATGGCTGTACTTATTGTGCTCACCCTCCCCCAGTAAGGTTACTGCAATAAGTCAGGATATCTGAAAGTGAGATTAGAGAGGCTCAGGGCATAGTGTTCTAACTAAAACAGATTGTTAGAGCTTTCAGAAATGATAGCAAAAAAGCCGTATTTAAGTACCATCTGCCATGCAGACGCAAGATTACCTTGTCAAAGACTCGGAATGCCTCACGGATTTCTTCTTCGCTGTCTGTATCTTTCATTTTTCTAGCCATCATAGTCAAAAATTCTGGGAAGTCAATGGTGCCATTACCTCAAATTAAAAAACAAAAAGCTCCTGTAAAATAAGCGCTCCAGGAACGCAACTGCAGGGGTAATTTTAGAACCACTTTATAGAATGGTCATCACTTGCTAGGACAAACTGCTAAATTATTTCATTAGGTTCAAGCATTCGTGGGTCTAAACTGCTCAAATTCCCCACAGGGCAATTTCACATGATTCACCTAATTCCAACTAGTAATGAGCGCCCAGGATAGCATTTAACGATGCAAAGGAAACTGCACATATGGATTCCTGACCACTGAAGGGGGCTGGACAGTTCAAGAGGGAAAAAAGCACATGGCACCGCAGGCCGAACCCTTCCACTCCCAAGGGAAGCACTTGAGACCGCCTTCCCCAGGGTGAGGGAGATCCTCAGCTCGGACTCTGCCCTGGCCAGGGATTCTAATAAGGCCTCTAACTGGGCCACCAGGAGTACCAAATGCTTTTAGGGAGGGTACGGATTATGAGAAAGGCAAAACTGCCTTTTTTATGCCATGGACCATAAAGTGTTAGAAAGTCTTCTCCAGGAGTCATTTCTCAGCCACTTTATGATGACAAGTCACCTAATCGTTTTCTCCCCAACTCAGCCTCTTTATTTCCCTTTAAGGGCACAGCTCAGAAGTGTGTCCAAAGCTCAGACCATTAACATTTAGGAAACTGTGTCAGAAGAATCTCTTCTGTGGCCGGTGTTCCAAACAATTCCTCCTCCAAAACCAAGAGTTAGATGAACACCCCAAAGGCAAGCCACCACATTAATAGTCTAACTCGAATTAAATGGAAATGAAACTAAATTAGAAGAAAAAAGCCTTAGGTTAAGTTACTCATTTTCACCGGTACCTTTAAATCAAAATAATAATTCAGAGATTCCCTTCAAGCCCTTTTGGCTTCCAAAATTTTAAATTATTTGAAGTGCTATCTCATAGCCTGCAGAGATGATGTCCTTAGGCATCATCATATTTATTCATTGCAAATACTAGATTCTGCAGCCTGGGACAACTTCTCCCCGCTTGTTCCATAGCATCTAAGGGGCTAATACACTCTGCCAGTCCCCAGACACAGTTTCCCAGGGTTTACACAAAACAGGAGGGAGCCACTCCATGTTCCCACATGGCTGATCATCTTAGCAGTCAAACTAGAGAGAACTATGAACAACCTTTTTCCAAAACAATACTAAAGATGAAAACAGTCTTTACAAGTAGCTCAAATGAGTTGAAATTATTGATAAAATGCTTACCCCAGACCCCTGCTTCTAAACATGTGACCCGACAAGCGTAATTCTGTTTTATCACCTTAAGATACCATATTTTTTTAAATGGCTACTATCAAGCCAATCATTTAGAAAGTATTCTAGATCCAAACTGTTAACTCTTAGTTCACTTTTTAAAAATTTACTCTGTTCTACAATGTAAGGTAGTACGTATACATGGCTCCCAAATATAAGAGGTTTTGTGGGGGGGCGGCGCACATGAGGGAGTGCTCAAAAACTATGTACTAATATAAGCGAGCAATGAGACGTCTATCGTCCACTATTCTGGAGTCCAGAGGAACAGATGACTGATTGGTGACCAACTGCTACAGGAGTTACTACTTATTCCCTCCGGCTCAGCACCTTATACATCTTCCCCTCCTGTCAGGTTCTGAAAACCTACTCTCCACAGTCACCATGCACCAGCTCCCCCAAGCCTCATGCAGTCCTCAAAATTCTCTTCAATAAACACATCTACAGCTCACTGTTCACAATTCCACATTAATGTCTAAGAGGGCTCTTCTTCCACTTCTCAAGGGGTTTTTCTCCTCCTCTTGGAGACAATAAGCTTTTTAAAAAGATCTATGGCTACATATTTTTACTTCTCCCCCAGGACTCAGTACAGACTCTCGGGCAACTTGATAAAAGATTGAGCTGTAGGTCACAGCAAGTAGAAAAAAACAATACGGTTATCTGATCCAAGAAATGTTCCAGACAGTAAGCAGGGCAAAAGGCAGGCCTATAATCTTCTGTTTTAATTGTCAATGGCTGTAAGGCAACCACAGAAAAGATCTTTGCACATTTGCTTTGCTCTGGGGACCTGAAAGACAATCCTGTAACATGTCTGAACTTGAATTACACAACGCTGGCGCTCATTCAGTGTTCTAAAGTCCTTACCGTCAGCGTCCACTTCGTTGATCATGTCCTGCAGCTCGGCTTCTGTTGGGTTCTGACCCAGTGACCTCATGACAGTTCCAAGTTCCTTCGTTGTGATGGTGCCATCGCCATCTTTGTCAAATAGGGAGAAAGCTTCCTTGAATTCTGAAAACAAAAGTTTACCTTTTAGAATTAATGTCTTTACGCAACCCAGCCACAGCGTACACTTCCCTTGGGCTTGCCAAAGCGAGCTGTCCAAGCAGTGCAAGTTAACTGCCTGGCCTTTATCTACTGAAATAAACACCACAATAGTCCTGCTGGACTGGCCTTCATACAGCAGTCCATAAAGCAAACACTGCTCCATAAAACCACAATTTCTCCTATTTTTACACGCTTAAATTAGTCCTAAATCCAATCTGACAGGTGAAGATTGGTCCACGTGTTCCCGTAAGGTCCCTTCCTGTTAAATTTCAATAGCCGTTAAGAACTCCTTGATTCACAGCAACACAAAGAGGTTACTAGAAACGTGCATTCCCAGGGAACCAGTGTATTCTTTCCACATAGCTTCCAGAACATTTCAAAGACATTCCTGGTTTCCTAAAAAGAAACCACCTCAAAAAAGTCCTCCAGGGAATAGTAAAAGCTAAAATCTAAACTAACATAACTCCCTTCCCAATTATTATATGTTCCTAACATTCATTTTCACATTCCCATTTATTTCAGAACAGCATGCACAAGCTTTCACTGTGAATTACTGACAGACCTGTGGTAGAAGAATTCTAAACTGCATTTCTGAGCAGCTCCATGCAGCCTCATCGTATGCAAAGCCTCTACGCCGCCAGGAAGCGGAGCTAACGCTCCAGAGTGAACAAAGTGGGTAGTCTTAGTCTCACTTCCTTTCACATTATCTCCCAAATACTGGTAAAGAGTAACACTTGACCTACACGTTTCTGCTTATTGTTTTCATTTAAATAAATTCTTAGAAAACTGCCCTGATTCGAGGAAGGAGGGGACAGAGGGGTCACCAAAACCAAGTTCTGGCCTACTGGAACCCCTTAAGTCATCAACTTACCAGCGATCTGTTCTTCGGTCAGCTGATCAGCCTACATGGGATAAAAAAAAGGCTGTAATTCAATCCACAAGAGTCTGAGATCAACAGTCTTTCCAATGACACTTTTAACAGTAAACTTTCAAAAATCAATCTTAAAAAAAAAAATCACCCGTGTGAAAACTTTAGCATCTTTCACTTTAGCATGTCATTTAAAGAAAACAGAATAAAGGGAACCCTTTATGTTATTTTAAACACAAAGGATGACAAGGAAGTGACAATGTCTCATTTCAGGTTTTCTTTTATGGGCCTACGGCTGTGTGCTCTGTGTGCTTGGAGGTCTAACTAGGAAGGGTTGGTTCAAAATTTGAAAAATGGCACCTCTAGTGGCAAAAGGCCCTACGGCATGTGCTGCAGGGGCAGGCTCTGAGAAAGAAGAGCGCCACCTACTGCGCCAGGGCCACCGCAGTCCCCGCTTCCATCCAAGAAGGGACCCAGCCTGACGCTGCTGTCACCGCAGCCAGGATCTCGTTCCAGGGGTAGGCTTTTAGCGCACCTTGCGCATTGCTGTGGGCGCTCCAAATCTCCAAACTGGCGTTACATAACGGCACTGGGTTGGATTAACAGGCTTTTATATCTATTTTATGAGATATAATTAAGTGAAAAAAATAAACATACAGCAATGGGTTACGTTACCAACTTTATTTCCATGTAATAAATGCTTTCCAATCATTTAAATGAGGCAGTTATTTGTTAAAAGCCTACCATTTACAATGGCTAATGCCTTCAGTCAAATTATCCCATGATTCAGAAGCCAGGAAAAAATGAAACTGTCCTACAACTGAGCTGTCACAAAACTGCAAAAATTAAGTACACAGAAAACTACATAATTATGAGACTACATCCTCTCTTTTCTAGAGAGGAGGAACTATTACCTTTGCTGGACAATACTAACTCTACCCACCTTAAGGATGACATGAGACTCCTAACAGTAAACACACTTTACTCGAGGTGGTAATGGCCGTGAAGATAATTCTCACTTGCATTATTTGCTCTCTGCCACACCGAAACCAGCCAGGGGAATGTGACAATCTCAAAGAAAGCTAATACAGCTTTTTATTTTAATGAAGGACATCTAATGAAACCAGTTACAAAATAAGTCCTACTAGAAAGCTGACGGTGTTAAGTTTATTCCACCTCTTAAATCAAAACTTTCACAGTAGGAATAGTGTTCCAATATACTGATTTGGGGGGGAAATCTTATTTTTTTCAAATTAGAACTGAGTCTTCCTTTCTACCCAGTCACTGCACGTTGGTTTTCTGTACATCGAACGAAGGCGACACGATGATTTATGTAACACCAGGGAAACGTCTGTCTTGTACAACAGGAAGCGCTGCCACACCTCGCAAGAGAAGCTGTCACCTTACTGGGCAGAAAAGGCCCTCCTCACCACAAAACTCTCCTGTTAAGAGGAGTTCTCGAGAGTATCAGCTTTCCTCGACAAAGGAATACCCTTCTCCGCCAAAATCGCGCTGCTGGCCTTAGGGGCAAAGGTGCTCCGAACCTGCCAGGAGCCATCTCCCCACCCCGCCAAGCCAGAAAACGCGGTGGCTGATGTCAGTCCTGCCCGCCGAGGGAGGAAGGGGGCTGTGGAAAACACACCCAGCGAGGCGCACAGGCGCATCTGGCAGTCTAGAAGCTGCAGAGAAAGCGGAAACGTGGAGGGCATCTCTCTGCGGACCGGGAAGTGGCGCGGAGCGGGGAAAACGCCGGGCGAGGGGCCAGGCGGGGGTGCGCGCCCCGAGGGCAGGCGGGATGCCGGGGGGCAAGGTGGCCCCAGGGTGGAGGCCCCACGCCTCCCAAGCCAGTGCGAGCCCCCACTCCGGGGCCGAGTGGCGGGTAGGGACCAAGTCCGCCTCGCGCCTCCCACCCGCTTCTGCTCCCCCAGGCGGCAAGCCCGCCGCGCCGCCGCCGCCTCCTCCTCCCGGGGCAGAAACTTTGCGTCTCTAATGGAAACCGAGCAGCGCGCCAGCTCCCTCCTCCCCCGCCCCCCCCCCCGCCCCAATTAGCGCGAGCCGAGTGCCTCCCGCGGGAAGGGACCTCCCGGTGTACCGAGGCTCACGCGCGCCTGTACTGCCGCACTGGATGGGGGGCTGCAGGGGTGCGAGACAGGGAGACACGAGCCCCGGCCACACCGCAGGGCCCCGCCCGGGAGCAGGGCGGCCGGCCCGCCGCTTCCGCCCTCTCCGCCCCCCACCCCTCGCCTTCCTGCCCCCACCCCACCCTTCCCCGGCTCCTTCCTTCCCAGCCCACGCCCGCGCCGCGCCCCCCGGGAGGGAGGAGGGGAGAGAGGCTGAGAGAGGGCGCCCAGCGGGGTCGGCTGGAAGGGGTGGGAACACCGACGGCGTCCCCCAAGCCCCGGCTGGGGCAAGGTGCGCCACCGGCTCCCTCCGGCCCATTCATTCTCCACCGCCCGCCCGCCCCTCCGCTTTCGTGCCTGGTGAGGGGGGGCGTCTAGTGCCCGGCCCCGCCCGGCTCCCCCGCCCCCCGGGGCCCCAGCCGAGGCGCAACGCTGCGGGCAGCCCGGGTGCGGCGCGCTGGATGCAGCGGTGCGGGGCTGGGGGAGGGGGTGGATGCGGAAGGCCCCGGTGCGGCTGCGGCCGGAGCCCCTGCCCGCGGACAGCCCACCGCCAAGGCCAACTCCAGGAGCGGCCAAGATTTAAATGAGGATCCCTGGCCGAGGAAACCAAGATGCAAATCCGGAATGCATCCTTCTTAACCGCAGTTGCTGCGTAACCCCCGGAAAAGAGAAAAAACCCCACCAGAAAAAAAGAAAAACCGGACTGCACTAAAAATTTGGGAAGAAATCCTGGGCAGGCAGCTGCTACGCCGGCGTTTGACACTCCCGACCTACCATGGTGCGAGCGAAGGGAGGAAGAACACAGAGATCGAGGGTGGCTGCACCAGCGCAAGGGCTGTGACGGCAGGGGTGCCTCCGCTGCTCCTGCTGCTGCTAAGGCGCGGTGTGCGCTGAGCGCCGTGCCGCTGCCGCCGCCGCCTGCGCCGCCGCCCGACTGCGAGTAACGGCGCCGCGTCCGCGAGGCTCCCAACACCACTGCCGAAGAGCGAGCCTGCGCTCCGCGGTATATATAGCGCGCTCCGTATCCCTCCGCCGCGACCGCGGCCGCTTCGCTCCGAGCAGCTCTGCGAGGGCCGGGCCTTGTCGCTTGGCCCCGCCCCCCGGCGCGCCCGGCTTCCCGCCGCCCCCCGCGCGCGCGCCGCCGCCGCCGCGGGCCCTGGCCCAGGACTCGGACGCCGAGGGTTCGGGGAGAGGAGCGTGGTCCCAGGGCAGGTGCAGCGAGGAGTCGCCGGAGTCTCCCATCCAGGCCCGGGACGAGGACAGGGCGTCTGCATAGCCCCGAGCTGGGGCTGCCCTGGCCTTCCGAAGCCGTCTGCCCCTCACCCCAGCCCCACCCCCACCTGTGGTGACCCCACCCCCCACCCCCCATCTCTTAGTGTCCGCTGTGGCAGCCAGGTCCCTCCGGCCCCTCGCCCCGGGGTCCCCAGCCGGCCGCCTCCCGTTCGGGGAGCTGCGGGAGGTCCTGGGCAGGGGATCAGACTGCACACCTTCAGCTGCCGAGGAGAGGGGTCTGGAAGGAGCAAGGCAGTTTTCCTCGTGCAAGAAATTGGTCAGACGTTTTTCTTTTCAAAATTTGAAGCCATGTCTGAGACAAATTATGTATGCTCGACTGCTAAATCTGTGCCATGCTCATATGCTTAGCCAGTCTTCTTTTAATGTTTTTACGTTTCAACCGAATATTCTTTTGTATGCCTGAATTATCTCTCTCCTCTACTGTTTTGTTCTCTTTTTCCTCAGGAAAATACTGTTCATCCTGGCTCCAGTCTTACCGAAATTAATATACCTGTACATCTTCCATACACCTTAAAATCCATGCTTTGAATTTTTTTTCTTAATTTTCCTAGTCCTGAGAGGGATCAGATCTTTATTCATAAATCCATAGAAACAAAAGAAGAAAAAAATAGATGGTTAGAATCCCCTAGATTACAGCTGAACACACAGCTAATTGAGTCTGTTATGCAGCTAGACCATATTTTAACGCACAATCTTGATTATATTTCTTTTTAACCAGTATTTTAATCTTTAGATTTACTGATGCTTTCAATTTTTCTGTAAACTAGAGAAAAGACCATTTCAGGTGTTAATTTGAAGCCCAGAACTTGTAAAAATCTTGACAAAGTGCTGCAGTGTCTTTTCTTGCCAAGGCAGAACACAGAATTTGATCTTTTGTTTACACGGCCTCGGCAACAGTTGCAAGTTATCATTTGCGTACTCTTTCAGAGAATGTGGCAAAGTGTATGATTGACAACCCCTGCTAGAAAGGGCTTTGCTTGGTTATGTTCGTTTCTGGCTTTGAGAGAGTCTGCAGAAATACGTTTTAAAAGAATGGAAAATGTTCAGGGCACATTGCAGATGTCACAGGGCTTCTGAGATAACCTCCGACAACTATTGGTGGAACTGTTCTTCTCACTGATGTTCCTTCTGGAATGCCACAGAAAGAGTGAACCTGCTGTTGAGTTCAAAGAGAGGCTGCCTTTCCTCTGCAGATTATAAAGACATTGTTCACCCACAAATCTGCCAATCATCACCACCACCACCACCATCATCATCATTAACATCTTGTATTCATAGGGGGAAACCTGAGTGGGAATAAAGTGTATATATTAATGGAGAGTTGGAAATAGAGGAAAAGGGACTGATACAAAATCAATTTAAAGAATATTCAATAATCCAGTGAGTAACTAGTTTAAATGGCCAAACTCGTCATTAAAACTACTTCATTCCTAAGGGAATTTGTATTCTTTGCCAGGCTTTCCATATGGTAGTTAGTTAAATATATTTTAAAACAGTATACATTGTACGAGTAGGGGGAAATAATAGCCTAGAAATGAAATGTGTTTCATTATTAAGGACTCATTAGCTTCTAACAGTCTTCCATTTTTTACAATTATTTTAGTTAAGTTGCTACAATCTATGGTTTTGAAAACCAGGCATTCTCTAAAATAGTATTTCTTCCTCTGTTATTTAACCTATTTCACCCAAATAAAATGCTTTGAAACTTTTTCATGACTTTACTTGCTAAAAACTGTACATTGCAGAATCATTTTACTCATTATAGTAAAATTTATTATTCTGATTCTTCACATTTTACCAGCTAGAGCTGTCTTTTGGTAATTCTTTAACGTATCAAAGCACATCTTAGCTTTCAAGCCTATTGGGTTTGTAATGAGGTCATGCTTTACTCAGTTTTATGGCTAGTTTGACACACTGAAATACAAGAAGGTCAAGTGACTTGCCCAAGATCTTATCGTGAATCAGTGATGGAGCATAAAATAGAACGTGAGCTCTTGCTTGGGGCTCTAATATTAGATTATATTAGTGAAATCAGTATCTGAAATTTTTAAACGTACAATGTGAAGGATTTGCCTATTTCATGAAGCAGGTTCTTCTGACTGACTACCCAGATGATCACATTTTCATTAAAGTCCAATAGACTCCTTTAAGTGAATAAACCTCCTAATTTATGGAGAGACAGCAATTATAATTGCAATCAGCAATCGTGATATCATAATTTGCTGAGAACCAAAAGCCGGTGGACTATTTTGTGATAGTGACAGGAAATGGTTATTACTTAAAATAATGTAAAATTGAAGAAAAGTAGAAAGAATGCAGCCCCAAGCCAGGAATCTCAGGTTTAAATATCATTTCTGTCACTGACTGGATCATTCCATCCCTCTGAGTCTAACAGAAAGAATAGAAATGTAATAATTGTACATCTCATGGGTAAAATAAGAGATTTGAATTTGATCTATAAATTCCTTTCAGCTGTAAAACCCTGTGCCTGAGATTTTAATATATATGATTATATATGATACATATGATATATAGGATTACATATGATTATAAAATATGTAATATTATAAAATATGTAATATATACACACAAATATGCATATATTGAAGAAGAAGAGGGCAAATGGAGAAACGGAAATAGTTTAAAAATAAAAATAACATTTGCTGAGCATTGACTATGATCAGGCCCTGTGTTAAATGTATTATTTCATCCTCCTGCCCATCCTGTGAGGCAGTATCATTATTATCCTTATGTGGAAACTGAGGCACTGAGAGATTCAATGATTTGCCTAATTTAAGTGGTGGAACTGAAAAATCTAGCTCAAAGGACCAAGCACATAGGCATTATGCTGTATCTCCTATAATTTAATAAAATCTATGTTTAATTTGGGAGGAGAGTGCAAAGAATAAGATTAAAATTTGTTTTTTAAAGAGATACATCTTACCCAAAGATTTAAAATTAAAATAAGATCATAGAAATTAATAATAGCTCTATCTCCCACACAAGGAGGAGAGTGTTTGTGAAAGAGAACTCAAAGCAAAACGTTTACTTTGTGATGCTTTCTAGCCAAAAAACATGTATCATTTTGCAGATGAGGGCTAAAGTAAGGTGAGGAGACTTGCTCAGTATCAAACATTCAGTTGATGACTGCATGCTTTCATTGAAAGAGATGACCCAGTGGGGCCAGCCAAGTGGCATAGTGGTTAAGTTCGTCCTTTGGCAGCCTGGGGTTCGCCAGTTCAGATCCCAGCATGGACCTACACACTGCTCATCAATCCATGCTGTGGCAGCATCCCACATACAAAATAGAGGAAGACTGGCATAGATGTTAGCTCGGGGCCAATCTGCCTCACCAAAAAGAAAAAAAAAGAGAGAGATGACCCAGGGCTCCCTAATCCTAGTCCTATTCTGTGCTGTATCTCCAGTTGGTATTTTAAGTTTGTCTTTTACAAAATTGTCTCAAAGTAAAACCTGATTTTAAGACATCAATTAATACAAAATAGAAGTATAGCCCTGAGTTTTACTATATATATTCAGAGAATATATTCACATATTTGGATCTGCCTCAGGACAAGTCTCTGTTTAAATAGTTATTGTACCCACACTCTTCTGGGCACCATGAATACAGCAGATAGATAGAGCTCCTTGCCTTCATGGAGCTTGCATTCTTTTGAGAAAATGACTGTGTGTATATGAGAGAGAGAGAGGTGGTTGGTTGGTTTGATGGTTTTTACAAAGTAACAGTCTAAATTCATTAATGACACAATGAATATGAATAATTCATTAACTGACATATAACTATAGTCAGTTGCATCTTCATGGATAGATTATCTAGTTACAGGATTTTCCTCAAGAAATTTATAATCCCAGACTAGAGCCCCTCTCCTGAGCTGTCTCATAGGAAAGAAATCTTGTCTTCTATCTCTCCACCCTCCCTGACTTCCTCCTTCTCTGCCCTCATGGTCCAATAGCACTTTGATGGTTATCCGCCATTTGCAATTCTCTACCTCACTAACCACCTCCAATAGCCAGAACAGATTCCTGTTGTTTGAGTGTGGATTTGCATTTCATTAAATGTTATACAGGATTATTATAAAAGCTTTACCATCTCTATCAACAAACAAAATACCTCATTATTTTTCCATTTTAAATTTTGCTATTATCTCTTTTTTGTTTGTTTTTGGCTTTTATCTTTTATGATGGACTCATAGGTAAAGAATAGAAAAGAGAATTTTAACATTACATTGAAATTTTTTTTGAGTTTTTTTTTTTATTTCTTTTTCTCCCCAAAGCCCCCTGGTACATAGTTGTATATTTTTAGTTGTGAGTCCTTCTAGTTGTGGCATGTGGGATGCCGCCTCAGGATGGCTTGATGAGTGGTGCCATGTCCGCACCCAGGATCCAAGCCAACGAAACCCTGGGCCGCTGAAGCACAGCGTGCGAACTTAACCACCCGGCCATGGGGCCAGCCCCTACCTTGAAATTTGAACATATGCTACCATCAGAACATAATAAGCAAGTGTTGGGCCATGACTTTGTACCATGAGAAAAAAATTTTAGCATATAGGGTGTCTATTTAGTGTCCTGTCATTTTAAGTGAATCATAACCAGACTAAATGTCCTGCTGTGTGTTCCAGCTTGCAGTGCTCATCATTATATTTAGTTACTGGTCTAAAATACAGTATTCCCAAACTGCACCATTCA